ACTGCCCCCAGATTCTGGGAGGGGGAGCAGGCTGTGTGTCGGCAGACACCAGGCAGGACACACGAGTGACTCAATTTGCCCCAGGAAAACAACGTCCATCCAAGGGACCAGCACCCAGGACAGACCTGGGGCTGGGCGGGGCTGCCCCGGAGGCCGCCTTAATGGCCTGGACCTGGGGGAGATGTTTATTAGACACCGCAAGTGGGGCTGAGACACCCCTGAGTCACAGTCTCGGGGAAGGCAGAATAAACAGGGCAGCAGCGACCAGAGATGGACAAGGGTGGACGGGATCGGCCGGCTGGGGGGTCATGGGAAAGGAGGGGGGTGGGGCCGCGGGGAGGCGGGGTCCCCGGCAACAAAAGCGTGTTCTGTGAGCTTCTGGGAGCGCTGACTATACTCCACTGAGTCCCCAAGCTTCAACCCCAGGGGCTGACCCCGACCCCAGAGAAGGGCAGCGTCCAGCCGGGCTGTGGTGGCAGTGCTTCCGGCCGGTCGGGGCCAGGCATGGGCACCTCTTCCCTCCGAGGACCCACAGTCACCCGAGGGAGGGAGAAGCGGGGTTCGGGGTGGGGGGGAAGATAGCTCAGGGGAAGGGCACAAGCTTCGCCAGAACGAGCTGGATCCCACACCCACAGCCCGCTGCACTCCCACACAGAAACACGTCTGGGGAAAGACTGTTTGTGCAACAGATAAGTGAGATGCCCTTTGTCGCCCATCTGGTCACCCAAGGGGCCAGTGACACTCGTAATGAATACATCCAGGGCTCTGGCAGGGAGTGCCCGCATCAGAACCTGGGGGTCCACCTGGGGGTCCCAGTACTGGAATCAGGCACAGGACAGGAGCCTGTGGGAGGTGTGGTAGCAACCTGAACTCACGAGAAACAGTGCACCCGGCCCACGTGGTCCTTAGTAGGACTCAAGGTCTCACACACACACACACACACACACACACACACACACACACACACACACACACAGAGCAATGTGCCAACTGGCCACAGGAACAGCACAGCGGGTAGGACATTTGCCTTGCACATGGCCAACCCATTCCCAGATTGGGTCCCCTGAGCACCGCCAGGGGCAATGCCTGAGCACAGAGCCAGAAGGGACCCCTGAGCAGGACGGGAGTGAAGCCCAAACCCTCCCTCCAAAAATAAGATGAATTTTTTTTTCCAGTTTCTGGGCCACACCTGGAGGCACTCAGGGGTTACTCCTGGCCCTGCAGTTAGGAATCTCTCCTGGCAGTACTCAGGGGACCCCACGGGATGCCTGAGAAATGGGTAAGGCCAACTGCCTACCTGCTGGACTATCGCTCGGCCCCAAGATAAAAACCTTTAATATAAAATTTATCACAAAGGGAAAAGAAACCCACACACCACAGAACAAGCTGACAAACATAGGTGTTTGGACGTGGGGACGCACACGGCATCAGCGGGAACAAAATTCAATCTCCAGCAGCGGAAACTCCTCCCAGGGTGGAGCTGGGTGTTCTGAGACCACCGAGGCCTCAGACCTGGGGGCCTTCTTCCTGGGTGCCAGCAAGGTCAAGGGACCCAGGGGAAGGAGCAGTGGGCGTGGCTTCCCACCTAGCACTAGCAGACAGGCTGTGCGGCCCGCCCATTAAACACGACCAGCTATTGGTCCCAGGGGGTGCGGGCAGATGGGAGAAAGGGCAGAGAGAGCCAATGGGGGGGGGCAGGTTCTCAAGGGGACCGTGGAGACGCTACACAAGCCCGAGCCCCCACTGCATCCCAGCACATGCGCGCGGTGAAGGCAGACTGGCTGGCAGGTCCTGATGCTTCATCTCAGCCAGTGGGTTTGCTTGTTTGGGGGAGGGGGAGTGGGGGGTGGGCTATACCCAGCGATGCTCAGGGCTCATCCTGGCTCTGCACTCAGAGATCACTCCTGGTGGGGCTCAGGGGACCCTTGGGGTGCCGGGGGTCAAACCTGCATCAGCTGCATGCAAGGCAAGCGTTCTCCCTCCTGTACGATGGCTCTGGCCCCCAAGCCAGTGTTTTTTTTATAGGACAATTAGCAAGGTGGCAGGGTGAAGGCAGCCAAAGGGCGGGACCCGGGGACCAGGCAATCTCACAGCCCCCTGAGGGGATACTCAGGGCAGGACACGGGCATCCTGGCCCCCAGTATCCTCCTGGTGGACACAGTTCCTGGTGCTAATTGAGGGGATACTCAGGACAGGACACGGGCATCCTGGCCCCCAGTATCCTCCTGGTGAACACAGTTCCTGGTGCTAATTGAGGGGATACTCAGGACAGGACACAGGCATCCTGGCCCCCAGTATCCTCCTGGTGGACACAGTTCCTGGAGCTACAGCTGAGTCCTTGCAGGAGCCCCCACCGCCACCAGGTTCCCCCTCCTCACCCCGCAGGGCGACTTGGGGCACTCACCCCCTCACCCTCTTGGCTTCTGGGGCTCCCATCCAAGTACCCTCCCAGATCCATCCCATCCATCGGGACAGACGGCAGGTGGAGGAGGACCAGGCCGCGTGTGGCTTCCCGTGGTCTTGGGGCTCCCCCTCACTGCCCACTGGACCTTCCCCAGCGAGCCACATCCTCCTCGCACGTGCGCCTGTGATCCTGCAAAGCCCAGCCCCGGACGGAGCTGAGAAACGGGAGCCCCACACTTGCCCCCCCTCCTCACACCCGCCAGGGCTCCGGGGGTAGCTGGCCAAGTGACGGGGGGGGGGAGCCCGTCCCCAACACTCCACCCTGCCGCCTCCCGAACGCCTTGCTGCTGCAGAGTGGGGGGCCCGCTCCCCACAAGACAGACGTGACATGAGGTTAGCTGAGGGCAGCCGGGGACTCCACATGGGCACCCCGAGTGTCCGGTTCTGAAGATGTGTGGTGGGGGGTCTGGGGGGGAGGATGAGAACCCCAGATCTCAGGGCTGCGACGGATCTCAGCCCTCAAGGGATCCTCCCTCCCGCCAAAGCCCAGGGGAAACTGAGATTCCTCGCGCCATCGGGAAAGATTGTTCAAGATGGCATAGGCCTCTGGGGCACCCAGCCGGGCTCCTTCCTCTAGGTCCACACGCAGCAGGGAGCCATTCTGCCCCTCAGCCCCCACTCCCCCCAGGGACCACTGGGCTGTGGACAAGTCGCTACTCGCCCGGGGCTCTGGATGCCAGGATGAAAGGCACCGTGGGCAGGAGGCGCCTGACCTCTGCCGGGACTTGCAGGCTGGCGTTCACCTGCTCACCTGCTCCCGTGCCTGGAGCCAAGCCCCAAACCCGAACCGGCTGGCCGGCCACAGCGGGGAGCTGGGCGGGGCGGCCCCTCCCCAGGCTGACTTGCGGGCCCCAGAATTTTAATTGTCAGGTAGGAAGGGCCACTGCTTCCTGGGGGTAGGGGCTCGAGGCCGGCGGGCCGGCCCCCACCCGGGGAGTGAGCCCCTCAGGTGCGGCTGGAGCAGGAATTCCAGGCGTTTGAAGAGGGTTATTAATGGCATCAAGAGCCAGCAGGCGCGGAGTGGGTGCACCCTCTTCACGGGGCCTGGCGGCCACAAAACAAACCCACCCCTGTCCAGGAGGACACTTCACCCGTTTGTGGTCTCCGGCTACTCCCCTGAAGCACAGCCAGTGGCAGGGAGTGGGGAGGGGGGCAGGTTCCCCCCCTGCCTGGCAGTTCTCGGTCTGAGAAGGAGGTGGGTGGGGTGAGGTCCGAAGTCAGCCGGCGGGTGGGGGAAGGAAAAACCCCACTGAAGAGGCCATCGCACACCCCACCCGGCGCGCGAGGGGCCCCAGCGGGAGGTGGTGAATGGAGGGACTGTTCCAAGGCCCAGGAGGCTGCCGCCACCGCAGGGACGCAGGGACGGGACAGGAAGGCTCCGCCTGGGCCTTCCTCCGCCCAGAGTCCAGGCCTGTCCTACCAGGAGGCGGGTCGGGACTTAACCCTCTGCTGGGCCGGGTGCAGTGGGCTCTGCCCTTACTCCTAGCACAACTCAGGGGGGCACCCAGCCAGAGGCCTCGGGCCAGACAGCGCCTCCCCCGTCCCCGGCTTCTTCAGGAGGTAGGGACATTTGGTCCCCCTTCTCGAGAGGAGAGAGGGGCGTGAGTTGGCAGCGCTCAGGTGCCAACACAGACTGCCCAGGACAGCAGGGGCAGGCACGGTGCTGCGGCCCCGCCAGGAGAGGCCAGTGGCCAGGAGCTCCCCACCTCAGCCTCAGCCCACGTGGATGGTGTCTGGGTCAGGCCGCACTCGGAACCAGCAACGTGAATGGGCTCACTCACGGTGCTCAACAGCTCCTAAGAAATCACTCACTGGGTTTCAGAGTGGACAGAGCCCAGGTGCCAGGCCACCACCAGACAGCCGGGCACCAGCTGCCTAGATGCACCCAGGTGGCCTTGCCACGGCCAGCGAGGGGTGCAGAGAACCCACACCACGCCCACCCTCCGTCTCTCCCTCACCTGCCAAGTCTCTCCGGTTCGGGAACACGACCCCCCCCCTTATGCCCAGGGCGGGGTGAGCCGCTGTGACCCAGACAAGGGGGAGTGTGAGCAGGACGGGCGGTCAGCGGGCTCTCCCCTGAGCCGAGGCCAGGCGCAGGGGTCCCAACGACCCCACCCTGCAGGGCCCCTCTCCGTCCCTGGGCCTTGAGGGGCCTTCCAGGCACGCCCGGCCACGTGGACCGTCCCGGGCCAGCTGGGAACTGGGACAGTTACTCAGGGAAGGTCAGCACAGGCGCCCGGAGCGCTTCCGGGCGGGGAAACCCAAGGGGCCGGGGAGGCTGCGACCCTGCCCACGCGTGGCACGGCGGGGGGAGCCTCAGGGCGACCCCCGGGGGCGGGCGGGCGGGCGGGAGGGAGGCGGCCGGCCGAGTCCCTGGGGCGGGCAAGGGCGCGCGCACGGGGGTGGCGGGAAGGGGCGCGGGACGCGGGGGCACATCGGAGCCGCGCCGGGACCCGGACCCCAGCCAGCCCCGCTCGGCCCGGGAGGGGCGTGGCCCGGGGGCTCCCGCCGGACCCCCCGCCCGGCGCGAGTCTCACCTGCGATGTGCTGGCGCCGCGCGTCGTCCAGGTGCGTGGACAGCACGTCCCCCATGGCGAGCCAAAGCCGCGGCCCGTCGCCCGCCGCCCGCCGCTGCCCGTGCCGCTCAAGCGGACGCCGCTGGCGCCATGGAGCCCGGCCCGCCCTGCGCTGCTCCCGCCGCCCGGCTGCGGCCTCCGCTCCGGCTCCGGCTCCGGCCGCGTCCGCCCGGCCGGTCCCTCCGCCCCGCGCCCCAGCCTGCGGCCCCGCGGCCCCGCCCCGCCCCGCCCCTCCAGGCCCCGCCCCCGGAGGCCCCGCCCCCGAGCCCGTCCCGCCTCCGTCCGGCGCCGCCACCCTAGGCCCCGCCCCCCTAGGCCACGCCCCTAATGCCCCGCCCCGGGTTCGCTCGGCGCCACAGCCCCGGGCTCCAACCGGCCCCCAAGGCCACGCCTCCTCCCCAGAGGCCCCGCCTCCGAGCCCGTCCCTCCTCCGCCCGGCGCCGCAGCCCTGGGCTCCGCCCCGCCCCACCCGGCCACGCCCCAGATTAGGCCACGCCCATTCTGTCCCGCCTTCGTCCGACGCCCCGCCCTTCCCGTTAGAGGCCCCGCCCAGTGGCGGTCCGGCCTCCTCAAGCCCCGCCCCCGAGCTGCGTGCGGGCGGGAGGGGCGGGAGGGGCGGGGGGCCGCGACCGCCGGGACCGCCCGGGAGACAGAGACAAAGGGAAGGTCGGAGAATGCGAGCCCGAGGAAGGAGAGGCGCCCCGGCACCGGCCCGAAACCAAGAAATGGGCCTGGCGGGGGGATCTGAAAAGACGTGGGATGCTTTGGGGAGTTTGGGCCTGGGGGGTCTCCCGCGCCCATCCCGGCTGCGTGGCTTTGGCACCCCCGCTCCCCAGGCGCTGCACCTTGCCAGCTGCCCCGCCCGCTCCCAGGAGTTCGCTGGCCTTGATCTGACCCGCCCGCCAGGTGTGCCGGTCGGTACGGCCGGGTACACGGGTGCACCGGGAAGGGGGTGGGGGGAGGGTCCAGGTCCCAGGCGCCCCGCCCCCACCCTCCGTCCCAGCGCCCCGCGGGCTGTAATCAGGCCCCGCCTATGGGCATTTCTCGGTCGGGCTTGGGAAACCGGGACCCGGCGGGGAAGGGGCGCGAACGAGGCCACTTACAGCCCCCAGCAGGTTTCAGAACCTTCCCGCAGGGAACGGGAGGAACGTTTGGGGCCGACCCGATGAACTGCCCAGTAGTGGGGGGGGACAGTTAAAACTGGGGGTCCTCCGACACTGGCAGGTGACCAGCCCTTCGGTGCTGAAGCTCTGGCCCCCCACTCTGCATTCCGCATCCCCGCGGCCGGTCTCCGTGTCCACCCTGTAAAGGGACAGCTCTTCTGGTCGTGACAAAAGCCAGTGTCCCTCACAGCGCCCGTCCTGTCCACCGCAGCGAAGGATTGTGGGGTGGATTTGTGGGGTGAGACACTCATTCACACTTAGGGGTTCTTGTGCAGAGGCCACCAACCCGACCAACCCTGCCTGCTCGGTGACCCAGGTCCCGCAGGCTTATTCTAAACCTCGGTTTCCTCATCTGTCACCTGAGAATAATGACACGTTGAGGATTAGATGACAAATCCGCACACATCGCCCTGCCCAGGTTGGCCCAGGTTGGCCCTCGGCTGCTCTGCAGAACCTGCCAGTTTTTCTCAGTCCCTGCAAGGGAGCCCAGAGACAGGAGGAAGGAGCAGAACGTTCTGCACGGAGGAAAATCCCAGAGGGACTTCTTCCAGAACAGTACGCTGAAAAACCAGTATTCTGACAGCAGGTTCAAGGTGCGGCATTCCAGGCAAGGGGGGGTGGGGGGGAGTTCAGCCCAACCAGAGGCGGGGCCTTGACGACCAGGATGCTTTCAGGCAACAGAAACATCAAGTGGCACTAAACTGACAGCTAATTTCCTGTTACAGAAACAGAAACTGGGGCCCAGAGAGGGTATGTGACCTTACGAAGGTCACTCAGCAAGGCCGAGGTGGAGCCCAGCGAGAAGCCACGCTTCCTACCTGCCACCTAGTTCTGTTTGGTCCACAAGAACTCAACAACCTCACTTGTTTTTCTCCCCCATGGGCTAAACGGGGGATGCTGGAATGCCTACCTTGCCTTAAGAGGGCATCACCAAAACCAGCTGGCATCTGGATACCCCAAGGCGGTTCCTCCGGCAGAAGGCCTGGACTTGCTGGCGTCCAGGAGGGGCCCACAAGCAACCTTTCCCCAGCCTTCCTGATGTTCCCAGGCCTGTGAGCCCACAGTGTCCACATTTCCCAGTGCACTACGCCCCAGACCCAGGGGCTGCCCCCAGCTGGAGACTCCCTGCGCCCCTCTGCCCACTAGACCTTCCATCATCCTGGCCTCAGCGGGCTCAGAGGGGTGGGACTGGGAGCTGGTGATAGTAGACAGGCTGGCCAGAGCGATAATGGCACAGCACGCAGGGCGTTTGCACAGGGTCAACCCGAGTTCGATCCCCGGCATCCCATCAGGTCCCCTGAATTCATCAGGAATGATCCCTGAGCTCAGAGCCAGGAGTAAGTGCTGAGCACTGCCGGGTGTGACCCCCCTCAGCCCCCAAAAAAAATGTGGACAGGCTGGATAAAATGTGAATAAGCTCCCCGCAGACTCTGGACTCTGTCCCTTCCAAGAGAGATCAGACCCTCACAGGAACATTGGCTCTGGAAGGAAGGAGCAGGAACAGTTGACAGTGAAAGTCTCAGGCCCTGGGGGAAGGATAGACATCTCTGCTGGGGGAAGCGTTCACTGCCTCTCCCTTCGAAGCTCATTCTCCTAGGGGCTGGAGAAATAGCAGAGGTGCCAACCCGGGTTCGACTCCTGGCACCCCTAGAAGTCGAATAATTCCTGAGTACAGAGCCGGGAGTAACCCCCGAGCATTGCCGGGTGTGGCCCCAAGCAACAAAAAAAAAACCCTCACCAAACTAGACCGCTGTCAGGGTGCCACGGATTGTGGGTCATTCTCTCTGCCTACAGTGGATTTGCAAGTGGCGAGCTGCTAAGAGAGCCCGGCACTGGGTGCCAAGCCTGCTCGTGGGGTGGAAGCAGATCTGGACCCTTCAGGGCTCCTGCCCTGGCAGCACTAAAGGCTCTGGCTGGTGAAGGACAGGGGAGAAATGAGGAGTGGCACACGGAGACGCCAACAAGCAGGAGGAGGGGTCGCGTGCGAGGTGCCCTGTGACCCGGGACAGTCTCTCTCAGGAAGGGACAGGTTGAGGCCTGATCAACCCCCTCGCCCCCCACCCACCCCAAACTCCAGGAGTAGCCCTCTGGGACCCACGGCTAGCTAGGGACACGGCTCAGTGGCATGTGTGAACCCCGGGTTTGCTCCCCGCTCCTCATGTGTTGTGGGGGTGGTCTTGATGGTTCCCAAGCACTGCTAGACGTGGCCCCCACAACAATAAAAAAGGGGAGTGGAAAAAATAGGATTCTACTTTCGTATGTGTGTGTTTTTAGGGGGGCCCACACCCCGCAGTGCTCAGGACTTACTCCTGGCTCTGCACTCAAGGATAACTCCTGCTGGGGTTCTGGGGACCGCGTGGGGTGCCAGGATTGAACCGGGGTTGGCCGTGTGCAAGGCAAATGCCCTACCTGCTGGACTAGGGGACGTTCTGTTGTCCGCTCACAGAGACTGAGCAATCTTAGTTATTTTTTTCACAGGGCCACACCCAGCAATGCTCAGTGGACCATCCACGTAGGGACCCACTCAAGGCCTCACACCCAGGCCCCTGGAGACCTGTCCCTGCCCCTCCCCCCAACCGTCCAGATGGAGGCCCTGGAACAGCAGGTATGCCAAGGGCACGCCAGGTAACGGGGTCAGTGGGAGCTGAGGAAGGAAGGCCTCAGAGGGCGGGTCTTCCTGACTCCAGCAGGGCGAGAAAGAAGGGCCCTTCCTGGGGAGGGGGGGGTCTGGGTCCTGCAGAAAGGGGGAAGGGGGAGGAAGGGTGGCCTTTTTTTGGGGGGGGCAAGATGATAATGAGTTTCTGTTTTGTCTTGATTCAGGGGTCACCCCTGTGCTCAGGGCTTAACTCCTGGCTCTGCGTGCAGAGGTCACTCCTGGCAGGGCTCTGGGGACCATCTAGGCTACTGGTATCAAACCTGGGCCCTCTGCATGCCAGGCAAGTGCCCAACCAACCGTACTGTCTCTCGCCCCATCCAGCTTGTTGTTTGTGTTACTGGTCAGTGCTGGTGTCTGGGTAGGGGTCTTGATGGTTCAAGCCCATGAAGAAGGTCTGGCACTCTGGAGCAAAGATGGGCTCGAAAAGGCCAGCCCCCTTGTGGAGTTCATGCAAAATTCTATCAGCCTAATCAGTGACTGAATAAATAGCAGTACTCCTACACTTAAAAGGTAAAGGCCCTCCCGTTGATCGTCGATTTGCTCGAGCGGGCCCAGTAACGTCTCCATTGGAGACTTTGTTGTTACTGTGTCTGGCATATCGAATACTCTCGGTAGCTTGCCGGGCTCTCCAAGAGGGGTGGAGGAATCGAACTCGGGTCGGCCATGTTGGCCGCTTGTAAGGCGAACGCCCTACCGCTGTGCTATCGCTCCAGCCCTAAAGAATTTTTTTTTCTAAGAGTCTGTAAGGAAAATGATTTGTAAGCAAATCACAATCACGGTCACCACTATCACGATCATCCTGTTGTTTGTCGATTGCCTCAAGCAGGCACCAGTAACGTCTCCTTCACCCTAACCCTGAGATTTCAGAAAGTGCCATATTCAAGGCTCTTTCAGGATTAGGAGAATGAGACCCATCATTGGTACTGGTATTTGGCATATTGGGTACACGATGGGGAGTTTGCCAGACTCTGCAGTGTGGGAAGTTTACATTCAAACTACTGAAGTAGCCTGCCAGGGTTGTCCAAAGTAAGAATGAGATAATAAGATGTCACGCTGCCACATTTGCTGGGTTTTATAGTCTCTGCAATCTATTTGCAAGCAAATAGATTGTTAAAAGTAGTGATGCTGTGTGAAAGAATTTTGGATGTTTTTCACTTCATGTTTCTTTGAATTGTAGCTTGCCTTTTTAATACCAGTAAAATTTATCTTTCAGAAGTAAAAAAAGAAAGAAAGAAAGACAGGAAAGGCCAGCACTAGAGAATTTCTCAGCTGTTTTGTTTCACTGTTCAGTTTTGAGTTTTGCTTTTTTGGGG